TCACTATTTATAATAATATCTAAAGTTTTCTAAGATTTTATAATTTTTATAATTAATTTATTTACAATTCTTTATTAATTTTATCTTTAACTGATCTGCTGTAAGAAACTAAGAAAAATCTAATATTTACTAATTATTTTTAATTGGAAAATTAATCTTTTATTGACTTATTTATATTTTTTAAATTATTTTTCTATTATATTTTTCCATTTAATGTAATTTCTTTAGATTGAAAATAATATTTATAATAAAAAATAGCTCGTATGCTAAACTAATTTAAATTAATTAAATAATATTATATTATTATTAAATAGTCTAAAAAACTTTGAATATAGATTTAAATTAAGATATTCTAAATTAAGAATTTTTTATTATTATTTATTTTTTTAAATATTAGTATTAATATCTTAATAAGACTTAATTTTTAATAAAAGTTTTACTTAATTATATAAATTCATTAATATTTATATATTGATTTAGATTTAATAAATATTAATTATATTAGTATATAAACCTAGTATTTTTTAGTTTTATTATTAAAAATATGTTAGATAAAAATAATTTTATTAATATTTCATCTAAATTATTTAAGCTAGTAAAGGATTTATATAATAATAATATTATAAAAATATTATATAAATAATTAATATTTATTTTAATAATATTGAAGGGTTAGAAAATCCTAGTTTAAATATAATAAAATATTTTTATAAAAAAACTCTAGATCTTATATTTATATATTATTAAATAAGCTTATAAATTTAACCGGTATAAAATTGATTAATTGAATTATAATTTAAATAATATTTATTTAAAAAATATTAGTATTACAGCTAAAAAAAATATAAAAAAAATAAAAAAAATTTAGAAATCTAATCATATAATAATTTAATAAAATTAATTAAAACTTTCTAAAATTACAATTTCAAAATTAAAAAAAACTCGGTTGTTTAAAGACTAAAAAATTATATACAATAAATTACTATATTTTAAGAATAAATTTCATCTATAAAAACAGAAAATCAATTTTAAAAGTTATTTTAATAATATTATAATAATCTATTAATAGAATAATTTAGTTAAAATAAAATTAATTAATTAATTTTTATAGAAAATTCTACTAGATTAATTTCTAAGATATTATAAAAAATTGAACAATATTTTATTTTATATACTAGTCTTAAATTATATTTAAATATTATTTTTATATAATATTAAGAACTCTGCCAATTTTACTATATTCATAAAATAAAATAACTATAAATTTCATTCTAAAGTTATTAGAATTATATTATTAAAATTATTAAATAAATTTAATTTTTATAATTATAAACTATTTTATAAAAAATAAACTATTTTCTAATTATATTATATATAATTTATATAAAAAAACTAGCTAAACTTTTTTATTATAAAATTAAACTAAAATATAAATTATTTAATAAAGTTATTATGAATTTAAAAAATTTTATCAATTAATCTAAGTCTATCTGTTACTAAACTAAAATTAAAAGAAATTACTAGCAGTATTTTATTTATAAACTAATAATTAAATAAAAATATAATTAAATATTTAAATACTATTTAAAATATTTTATTATTAAATATTAGAACTATTAGATAGATCTATTTAATAAAATAAAATTTATATATCATAATTATTGAAATATTTTTAAAAAACATATTTTTCTAAAATATTACTAAATTATTTTTTAGAATTTAAGCTTCGGATTATAAATAATTTTATAAAAATAAAAATACTATTAATCTAAGAAAAACTAGGAAAATTATATATTTTATAAAAAAAACTATAAAAAAACTAATAAAAAACTAGTAAATACTACTCAACTTATCATAATAAATATTATATTATTTCTCTTTGAAAAATAGTTTATATATTTAAATAAAAAAATCTGATTAAATTATTTCTAAATACTAAATTTAGAAAAACTACTTAAAAATTAATTCTAAAACTTATAGAATTTTTTAAAATTATAAAAGTAATAAAAAAATAAATATTTTGCTTATATCTTTTTAAATAATATATATAATTATATAATATATTTTATATCTTATTATTAAAATCTTAAAAATTAAAAGAAATAATATTAAAATAATACTAATACCAGATCTAAATAATAATAAAAAATAGATGATAAAGCAGATATTAAATAAATTATATTATTATAAAAAGTAGTTTTATTTAATTAATTAGTAAAAATAGTTTTTAAATATAATAAATAGTTATTTGTAGATAATTTAATCAATATTTTATAAAAAATCTATAATTCTGAAAAATAAACTTTGATATTATAGGACTTAAACCAAATATAATAAAAAATAATTAAAAAATAAAACCTAGATAGATACAAATAACATATGTATATATCTTATAAAAAAGTAATATAACTATATGATATAATATATTAATATTATATATATATATATTAATATATAAAAACTGTAAGAATAAATATATTAGATTTATATTATATATATTTAATAAATATTAAAATGTTAAAATAAATAATAGTACAAAACAGCTAAAAAAATATTTTTATAAAAAGATTATTAAAAAATATAAATAATATTATAAACTACTAAAAACTTTTATAAAAGAAAATTTTATGATATTCTAGATTTTTTACTATTTATTATTATTATTATTATATATATTAGTTACCTCCTTAATTATTTTGTTTAAAATTAAAAAAATAATTATTTATTATAGCAAGTAATCGGTATTATTAAATAAAAAATAAAAATAATTAAAATTATGGTTCCGGCGAGCTAGTAGAATATAATGTTTTACAATAAAAATATAATATTTAATGATATATTTCTACTAATTTATTAATAAATTTTCAATATTCTAATAATTTCATTTATAATTATAATTTTTTATTATAATTATAAGATAATATTTTATATAGTAGGTCTGCTTAATATTAGTAAACTAAAAAACTAATATATATATTAAAAAACTAAATATATAATTAAAAAAATCCTAGTCTATTTTTAGTTTTTATTTTAAAAGTCGATAAAGTAGTATAAAATTAAATATAATTTTACACTATTTTTTTATATCTTTATAGCTGTCTAGTCAACAATCAGCTGATAATTATAAAAAAACTTTTAGAAATTATTTATTAGTATTTAGAAATTATTTATTAGTATATAATTAGACTTATATATAATATATTAATAATATAATATTTAAATAATAATTAGATATAAACTGTTTGCCGGAAGCTTAATTATAATTTTTTATATTAATATAAATATCAAATATTTTAAGTAGAAGTAGATCTTAAAAAAAAGAAGTATTTTAAAAAAAAATTAAAAAATTAAAAAATAAATATATTAATTAATTATAGAAACTATAACCAACTATTAATATTTTAATACTAAAAAAGCAAAAAAGTATAATATATTCATCTTAAAAAAATTAGAATAATTATAGTTCGACGGAAAATTAATACAAAAATACATATAAAATATAAGAATAACAAAATATTAATAATAAAAAGAATATTAAAAAAGAAGTTAAAATATAATTATAATATTAATAATTATATAAAGTATTACATTTCTAAAATAAAATAATATCAAAGTATAATTATTAGTTTTATCAAAACTAGTTTTTATAGAATTTTTATCTATCAGTACTGCTTTACCGAATAAATTAATTTATTTAATAAAACAGCAATGTTAGATTATTTATTTACTATTAAAAATAGTTGTATAAAAAATATAATTATTATAAAAATATTTTAATATTTTAGCAGACTATTTACAAGTCTATTATATATTTTATATATAATTTTTATAGTATTAATAACTCTAAATTCTTTTATATTTAATTTTTTATTATCTTGCTAGATTATAGTATAATAAAATTTAGTTTTATAAATTAATTAGACTGCTATTATTCTATATCTAACTGATCCCTTTCCCTTAACATTATCTTTGTATATATTATATTAATCTTATTATCTTTCTAGTTCTAGTTTTATATTATATTATGTTTTCTACTATCTGATTTTATCTTTTTTATATTTTTTTAATATTACTTAAGTTTAATATTTTCAAGCCTATAATTTAGCAGTTATATAATATATAAAAATTATTTTGCAATAAAACTACTAGTTTGATATATAACTATATTAGCCGAATAGATTTATAAGATAATTAACTAGCTATATGTGGTGGATGTTGGCTGTGTCGATATTCTGTCGTTATTTTCCGCCTTCGGGTATTCTTCGGTCATCTCGACTTCCCGAACTCTTTCTTTTTCCCAACAATCTCAACAATCAATCTTATCATAATCGTGATCACCGATTCCTAACACCATTTAATTAATTTATTTCTATGATATAATTAGATTTATAGAATGTAATTATAATATTATATTAAATAGTGTTAATAACTTAATCTAATCTTTCAAAAAGCAGACTTAAACAGTTTTATTCTCCATTTTAAAAATAAAAACTCGAAATAATAAAACTTTAATATTTTCTTTCATTTTATCTATTTCTAGCTAGATTTATATTATTAGAATTTATCTGTATACTTGTAGGATATTAAGATATAAACATTTAATTGTCTCCACACCGCTTAACTTCATAATATCAAATTTAGTGGCTTCATAATCTGATGAGGTGTCTTTCGCAGGTTTCTGAATCTTCATATTTGGTATAGAGTAGGTAGCCAAGTCTATCTTAAAGCGGTGAGAGCCAACTAACGGCAACAAGGCGGCAAAATCCTTTCACCTTTACTATCCACCTCAGCTCCAGCTATCCTTACTGCGCCCGAAGTGGTAATAGTCATTCTCCGGCCTAACCCTAGCCAATGATGTTGGATACAGTACTACTCTCTTTAATATAAGACCGGAAGACAACAGTCTCATTGACACGCACAGCCTGATTTTCTTGTGAAACCAGCAGAAGCCGTAACAAGACAACATGGACTGGGATCGCAACAGAAGGTTTGGTCGACATGCCCTTTCCTATATTTCCATCCAATCGATTGAGGCTGATGGAGTTTCAACCCTAGATTTGATGATCATCGCGGTGGTGAAAGCTACAGACCTGCTGGCTCTAGAGGTTATAGTCGTCGCAGCAGATCACCTCCCAGGGTTCGATCTCCACGTCTCGTCGCGGACACATGGGTTCCCAGTAATCGGACATATGGCCGTGCTCGTAGTCGGTCACCGGCTCCTTCCAGGCGTCGCCCTTCACGTAGCCCTCATTTCTACAGTCGAGATACTGTACTGGGCTCTTATCAGAAGACATCCTCTCCACCCCGCCGTTTCTCGCCCAGGAGGGAAGGCAGAAATCGATCACCACATCAGTCACTGTGGCGATCAAGATCACCTTATGGCGATGGCCCGTATCGGGAGATGAGTTGGGGCCGAAGCACCCCGAAAAGATTGCGAGAAGCGTCGCCCCCCGGTCGAAATTTCAGGCAACCCCGTAGAGAGCGTCCTTCTCTCCCCGCAGACAAGTATTCAAAAGCTGAACTACCAGCTCGAGATAGCAGTGGCCGCACCCCCCTACTGCACCGACCACGCAGTCCTTTACACACAGTCCGCAGAGATCGGGCACCAGAGTTTGGCGTATCTCAAAAGCGGTCATCACCATCTGCCAAGGGTGAACCATCTCCAGCGCACACGTCGGCCTCTGCTTCTTTACCCAACTCAAGACGGTCATCTCCGGTCAATGAGAGATCCAACGCCTTTCCCGACCAAATCCGGGCTCGCTCTCCGTCGCATCGTACACCTATTTGCTATCAACCTAGAAACTCAGATTATCCAAGATTACGCGAAGATCCCCCAGGTTCGTTGACAGATAAGCCCAGGCATGAGGAAGTAAGATCAAGGGTGCCTGCCCCAGACCATGCGCGCACCGCTACAGAGAGGCGAGGTACAGACCGAGATGACCGACGTCGGTCTTCCGATGCCCAGTTCACTGGAAAAGCACACATGCCCGCTGCTTTTCATCCCAATAGTGTCCCAACACAGCCGAAAGCTTACAACGCCGCACAATCCCAAGCGCCACCGTCCGGTCCTTCACACGGCCTCAGAGTTTTGCCGCAGCAAAATCGCGGGTCGAACATTTCTTTACTATCAGCCCCGACTCGGCCCCGTGGTGGTGCGAGCTTCAAAGATAATTCCTGGTTAGCAACGTCAGCGCGTCGCGGAGGTGCATCTATTGGACTCCACGGAGCTCCTCCGACTGGCCCGCGCAGCAGTTTGCCCCCTACAACACCAATAGCCGAGACAAATCGACAATCGTCTGGCAGACAGAATAGTGTCCCTGGGCATACTCACTCGCGCGTGCAGAAGATTCCTAACCACTTATCCGGACTACGTGCAATTGTAACTGAAGGCAGACCCTTTTCCTCTGGCCTCAACATCCTTATGGAAAAGCGCCTCTCTCAATTGGATATCGATAAAGACAGACTCATTGAGCAGACAATTGACCATCGGAGACTGATTCGCCTTGGTGCGCACGACTGGGACAAACTGGACAGAGAAATTGCTATTTGTGCGCTGAAGAGCGAATTGGCAGAGGGGCATCTGCAGCGAATTAGTGATAGTGATAGCATACACCTTAGCACGACATTCTAAGGTATGCGAACTCGGACTTTGATTTCCCGAGTTGTGACTTTGTGATATGTGTTGTGGGGTTGTTCCGGCAGACTCTTTGTTAGGTTCCGTATGGAGGACATGTAGCTTCTGGTCTCACTGGCTAGACTTTTGCCTATTAACAGCACTGCTATCAAATGTGTAGGGTCGTTTGAACATTCAAGGTGTATGACTTCCACTATCTCATCCCTATGATGTAGAAAAAATGTTCTGGGAAGATCAGACAAGTGGCCGCCTCCTGGCTGAATGGTATATACTCCACATGGTTTTTGTAGGGAAAATGGTTGTACTCTTTACAAGTATCAGTTTTCGCCATTGCCCAGCAGATTGACCGCCTTCATTGCTCTTCTACCGCTTCCTTGTAAAATCGTAGTGGGGTAAACACTCTGCCTAATACCTTGGTTTTCTCACAAGACTCACTAACTTGGGCCCTATTAGTAATGATTTTGCAATACTACTTAGTATGGCGGTCTCATATAGTACGAGTAAATGGGTCCTCGGTGGCGAAAAGCCCACCCTAGATCTATCCGGCAGTATTTGATTAATTAGAATCTTACATTTCGGTTGACTCAGCTGGCTGTTGAAGCTGTTTGGTGATATAATTGTTCAACTTCCTCAGATCGATACCTTATTAGAGAGCGGCAGGTAACGTATTTGGTAAGCGAGTCGGCTATATGAGCCAGTCGGCCACCCATATATTATATATAAAATAGCTGATTTCTAGATCATATTATCTTAACCAGTTTCTATTAAATTGTTTTTCAAATTAGATATTGAAGATTACATATATATATATATATATAATCTTTTTATCTACGAAATAAGAAATTTTAATTATCTTTATTAGCTTTAATATATACTATTTATATATCTTACAAAAATTATACTCTATTAGAGAATTACTACTAGTAAATAATAGATTTTAGAAGAACATAAAGTAATTTATTTATATTAACTAAGTTCTTAAACTAAATATTACAGACTTCTCAAAGTATATATTCTAAGATTATTGAAATATTTAAAGATTGAAATCAGCTTTATATATATAATACATGGGTGGCTGACTCGCTTACTGATTATGTTAGTAAGTGTGAGGTGTGGGACTGCTGACATTTACAATCTGAAGGCACCCAGGTATGTAATATATATTTTTACTACTTTTGTACTCACCGGCGATTGTCAGCGAGTGCGAACAGTACAATGAAAATATTACAAGTAGTAGTACTGTGACTTATTCGATTTAACCTTTAACCAGATATACAGTATGTACATAGTAAAATATTCCATAATCAAGCTACTAACTAAAAGTAGATACTTACTTTATTCTGGTGTTTGAAGTTCCTCAATAGTTCTTTGTAGTCTTCTGTGATCGGCTTTATGTGCTGCAGCATTCTGTGTTGCAGTATCAAGTCTCTGTGCCTACTACTCGGATAGTGTCAAGATGCGGGCTGGCGAGGGTTGGAAGGTATAGCAGTTGGGGCTGGAAACTCTCTTATAGAGTTCTCTGAACTCTTATCTAGCTACTCAGTCAGACTATTACTAGATTTATAGACAGGACATAGCTTGAAAAGCTATAATAAAATTAGAAACAAGCAGAAAATAAAGAAATGATATATTATATATAGAATAATCAGAAAGAGCTGTGGAAAAGAAATATAGATATATATATTCAGTGTACATACAGCTATATGGTCTTTCCTTTGAGAAGTAGTAGAATCTAAGATTATATAATTTCAGATCTATCATATTTTTTATAAATGAAAAGATTGCTACTAAGTCATATATAAGAAAAGAGCATATAAAACTACTTATATCTTTAAAATAGAAAATAAGTAAAATATAATATTATTACAGGTAATCCTTAACACCCTGATTAGCTATTTATGAGTCTTTTTTATTTTTTATATATAATAATTATAATATTGATAACTATAATTCTTTTTATATACTTAACTTTCTTTTTCTTACTAAACTACAAAAAATTAAGAATTAATTTTATCAATCAATTAGATTATTATTATTCTATATCTAACTAATATTTTTTTAATGATTCTAATTTGTTTTAGTATTTATAGAATACAGTATACTATTCTAATAATTATATTAAAACAATAACTTAAAATCAGAAATTCTTTTTATTTTTAAAAACTTTTTATTATTAATATTTTTAGAATTTTTTGGAAAATCTTACTACAGTTAAAAATATTATTAGCTATTTATAAAATTATTAATATCTATATTATTAAACTATTAAATGATAAAAAGGACTTAATAAAATAATATTAAATTAATATTAAGTTACTAATAAAAATCTTTCTTTTTCTATATAATTTTAAAATAAATATTAAAATTAAAAATATTTTATAATTCAAACTTCTCTTTAATATTTAAAAATAATCAAAATAATTTTATAATTTAAATTACAAATTTTTTGAAAATATCTATCAAACTTAGTACTAATTATTATAAGATTCTTAAAACTATAAACTATATAAGTATAACCTATTAATAAAAAAAATTAATATTTTAATAAATTATTATCTGAATAAAAAATTTATTAGTTATTTATAACTTATATTCTTAAAATAAATCTTATTTTTAAATCTAATATTTTAAGCCAGTTAAAAAATCTAATAAAAAATAATTAAAATTTATATAAGTTTTATATTTATTTTAATATTTTGAAATGATATTTTTCTAAAATTATTAGCAAAACTAAAATTATATTTTTTATTAAGCTATTTTATAACTTTAGTTATTATATATAAGCATATATATATTAACTATCTAAGAAATAAAATAAAATACTATTTTTTATTATTTATTATTATTACTTATACTTTTAATACGTGAAATAAAAATAAAAATTAAAATTATTAAAGATTTTATTAAAACTAATTCTAATTTTATAATAATATATAATTTTATAATTCTAATTCTAATTATATGAATTTAATAAGAAAACTTTTTTAATATTTTTTATATAACAGCATTAAATGTTTGACTAATTGAAATTTTTTAAAAAAAATTAGTCTTAATATAAAAATTATAATTTAAAAAATAATATAAAAAATAAAATAGATTAGAATTAATTTTTTATTTTAATCCGAAGTTAAAAACTAGAAATACCTAACAAAATATTAATATTTATATAAATATTTTATACTAAAAAGATTTATATATATATTAATAATAATATAATATATAATTTGGTTAATAATAATTTTATATATTAATATTTTTTTCTAAATTAATATAATATTTTTTTAGCTAGAAGTTATCAATTATACTGTAATTATTAACTATAAAATATAAAATATTTTTAAATATTATTAATTTAAATGTATATAATAATACTTTATTAGAATATATATTATTCTTATTTAAAATATTTTAATATTACTATTTATAATTATATTTATAAATTATAAAATTTATCTATTTTTACAAGATAAATGATAATAGTTTAAATTTATTTATATTTGAAAATTAAATTTTTAAAAATGTATTAAAACTTGCTAGAATTATATTTATATATATATTTTAGTTAAAATCTTAGAAAAGCTATAGCTTTTTAAAAATAAAAAATTATCAAATTCTTTTTAAAATAATTTTATTTTATTAAAATCCGTAGAATTTATAAATATTTCTTATTTAATTATTTAAAAAGTCTTTCAGAATATCATAATAAGAATTATATTATGAACTTTATTAAAAATAAATTTTTACTAGTTAATTCTATTTATTTTCTATTCCAAAATCTTTTCTAATTTTAAAAATTATATAAATAGAAATATTATTAATAAAAAAATAATTTTTAAAAAATTTCTTTAAAAACTTTTATTTTTTTTATATATTTGAAGAATAAAAGTTTATATCTATATATAGATTATTATAAACTATAGAATTATTATTAAAAATTAATATCTACTTTTTTAAGTTTTAACATTTTTAATTATTTTGTAGAATATAAATATTTTAGTAATATTGACATTGTGAATATCTACCATTATATCTATATTAAACAATAAATAGGAAATTATATTTCATATATATTATAACTATTTTAAATATATAATAATATTATTTTGTTTAAGTAATATTTTTATATGTTTTGAAAACTATATTTATTTAACTTTTTTTATAATATTTTTTATTATTTATATTATATATCTAAATAGTTTTAATATTTTTTGAATAATAAGATATAAATATATTAAATATATTAAAGTAATATTCATATAAGTATAGTAGATTAATTTATATGTTAAAATTTTAAAATATTTTTTTCAGAAATGAGTTAAATTTTTAAGCTATATTATTTTTTATAATAATATTATAGTAAATTTTAGTTAGATTAAAATTATTATTTTATAACTATTATTTATTATTTATTATAATATTTACAGTTTTCTAAAAATCTATAATTTTTCTTATTAATTTATTTGAAATTTTTTTATTAGTTTTATTTTTTACTAATATACTAAAAAAAGCTAAAGAAAGGAAGATCTAATATTTATTAAATTATTTTTAGTTAAAAAACTAGTATTTTATTAATTTATTCATATTTTTTAAACTATTTTTCTATTATATTTTTTTAATCTAATTTAATCTATCTGGATTAAAACTAATATCTATAATAAAAAAATAGCTGATATTCTAATTTAATCTAAACCAACTAAATAATAATATCTTATTATCATATAATCTAAAAAAGTCTTAAATATAAAACTAAACTAAAATATTTTAAATTAAAAACTTTTTATTATTATCTATTTTCTCAAATATTAGTATTAGTATCTTGATAGAACTTAATTTTTGATTAAAATCTTATTTAATAATATAATCTTATAAATATTTATAAATTAATTTAAACTTAATAGATATTGAATATATCAATATACAAACAAGCCTGATATTTTTTAAAAAGAGCATAAAAAGAGATAAATTCCAGCTATCTAAACATTTATTTAAACTAGCGGTTAAAAATAGTAAGCTGCTAAGCTAATATAAAACCAGATATTTTATATATTTTTTTAATTTACTGTGAGATCTTCATATTCTCAAGCTATTTAAACTATATAAAATTATTATAATAGAAAAGATAGATTACTCTTTTAGTATTAAAATATTAAAATAGTTGTA